TTGGAAAAGTCACGCGTTCCCAGAGGAAAATATGGCATACAAGTTGAGTGTAACAGCTTCCTGCTCCCAGATTTAGATCATAAGACATTAAAATAACAGTAAATATCTATAACCAAGAAGACATTAAAAAGGCTCTGCTCCACAAATGAAACATCTGCGTCTTCATGGCTGATCATCTTAATTGTCTTGGTTAATTACTACTCATCAAGAAAGATATGAAAGCAGGACATACAGAATAAGATGAGATATCAAGGGGCACATCTTCTGCATTTGTTCAGATTGGTCTGCGTGGCAACGGACCACATCTCATATGGTTCCTGACAGGAGTCATTCATGCCAAATACTAGTATCTAAACCTGCAAGTGAGCTATTTAAACCATCTCCTTGTTGTAGGAATCCATGGTGTTTCACCCCAGCACCAGTTATACATTTATCTTAAAAATCGCTGTAACTAACATAGGATAAAAGAGAAGGTAATGGCCTATTTTGATAATTCTGTATTCTCTTCCACAAAAAAGAATACTAACACATTCTGTGACAGTGCTGTAAAGAAGACCAAAATATCCTGCTGTTTGTCAGAAGTGCTGGCAGAAATGAATCACTTCTTTTAGTATTCCTAGAATCATAAAATTGACTTGACTTACAATGAACAGTTCAAACGTAAGGGATCAGACAGATGAAGCAGCTCTAAAATATGTGCTAAAGGCTAGCCTTTAAAAGCAATCAGTGCTTCTGAAGGTGACCAAGCTGGAACATTTATAAACACAGTGGCGTCACTTCTCATTGCTGTGCTACTGTCCTTCAGTTTTATGTAAAATGGTCAACTCTGAGATGAAACCTAAGGTTTTCCCCCAAATTATTTGACACTGTTTTACATGCTTCTATAAAGATGGAGATCCCAATTACAGTAACAGCTTTTTCTTTTTTAAAAGGTATTCTCTTAAAAATAAACACTTTTCCCCTGAATAAATGAACTACTGACATTTCACCTTTTAGCTGTGCTGGGATGAGCTGGAGATGCCCAATCCCAGCATAAACATAAGTCTATTGAGATTTTTTTATTTCATTGATTTTACAATTAATGAAATGTCTGAACACAGTCAATACTCACCCCCACCCAAGGTAGTTTTCAGAAGGACAAGGGAAATAAATCTTTATCTTCTGCATGTTTTATCTTTCTCTCTCTGTATATATATGCATGTATATACGTGTGTGTGTGTGTGTGTTTGAAAAAAACAAATAGAAAGTTTTTTTTTTTTGGTGGAAAGGAAAGAAAAAAATAGTAAGAATTATGGGAAAACTGAATGAACTGTGAAGCTTTATAACATCTCTGTGGCAAAACAAATGCTTTCTTATCAGCTCTACAACTATGCCTGTGGGAGACAGTAGAGCTCTGCAGGTTATTGCAAAGTGAGAGATGATAGATGGCCTGCCATCCTCCATAGGTCTTTCACAGTGCCCTTCC